CTTCAATAGTTAAAACCACCAATCCGATCAAATATATACAAAAAGTAGAACAAAGTTCAAATATAAATTAATTTATGTTTAAATATATCTTAAATTTTATAAATTACTTCTTATTTTGAATAGTTGTTGATAAACGGTTAACGTGGGTATAATTTTTATTATCAAAATTCATTTCACAAAATTAGGAAAGTACAGAAAAGCTTTTATCGTATTGTACTATAAAAGAACGCACTGATTACTAACTTTTGATTCACGACGAAATAAAATGGTGAGTAGAAGTGCTTAAATATAGAAAATACTTTAAAATTAAAAACCAAATATAAAAGTTTAGAGAAACGAGAGAAATAAATAACAAATTCTTAAACAATTAAAATTATAAATATAACAAAATAATTTTTAGTGTTATATAACAGGACTGTCAGTGTCAGTGCGGCTTTTACTTGATTATTTTGTAAACCTTAGTAATACTAAAAATATATTTAAATTATATTAAGTCCAAATAATGACGAAGACGCCAAAAAAATATCCTAGGCTGGTTTGTTTTGAAAATTCCGTCAATCCGAAATTACTAAGCCTAAGTTTTCTGCAATAGACATTGTTGATAAAGATTTTATAAGGTCCAGCTAAATAAATAAACAAATTTCAAACTATTACTGTTAATTTGAAAATAAAATTTGGCGCCGATGGACGCAACTAGTGGAAACGTCGCAGTGGGAACATTGTCTATCGCGATATATAGATACCGCTTTGACAGCTGCCAACTGCGGTCACACCACGTGTCAAACGAGGCTTCCTGGACTGAGCGCTGGCGAACTCTCGTTCACTTTGTTCGAATCCGTCGCCGCTTAGACTTCGTGATTTCTCATTCAGCTTATTCGAGAGTAAGTTTTATTAGTGAGACTATAATTAAGTGAATTTTGTGACTCTGCATCGAAACTGCAACCAGCGAACAATTAATAAACAAATATGCATTTAAGACGCCGAAATTGTGCATATTTCGTGGTGATTTTGTGTGTGTATTTCGGAGATAACCTCTAACGAGGAACTTCCAAAGTGAAAGGTGGTGGCTAATACATTCGAACAAAAGCGAAAAGCAAACACGTGGCAGTCTGCAAAGTCAAAAAATTTCAGCTCGTGTGGCTGGTTTTAATTAATAAAAGCATCTGCCTAACCATTTTCCGGCTTTATGAGTCGCATTTTCGCCCTGCAATATGGTGCAATTAGCGTGTAATTAGTATGCCACGCCCACTCGTCACTCAGAGGTCATCCACCAGATGTGCCAATTAACACGTGAAAAAACGTGGTTTCTTTTGGTCTATGGCTTTTTGCTTATAGACTTCAATTTTTTTCTCTGTATGTGGCATAGAATTTCAAAATGGCGGCCCACGTTGCCCAGTGGTGCGAGTCAAGTGGGCGAAAAAAAACCTTTCCTAGCAACACGCGAAAATTTGCTTACTTCGGCATTCCCATTAACATAACTTGTGAAATTGCCTTGCAGTATAATTTCGTCATTTCTAGCAAATCTGCTAAGTATTTAAGTCAAAATGGCTGCCATTGCACTTTAAATTCATGACTAAATCGTTTTTCTTCTCCCCCTCTCTTTCAATTCTTTCCAATTGTGCCACCGCGGCGAGATCGTTTGCGTTGGTATTGGTATTAGTCACACATACTCGTGTCCAGCCGCCATTTTGCTCTCTATTTCTCTTCCTCTCTTTCATTTTCCTCCGGCCGGCAACAGCGTCATACACACACACACACACACAGACAAAATATGCACACGCGCAGGCCGATAAGCACATGTGTATTTGCGAATTAAATTTGCTGGAATTTTCCTTTGGACTCTCGATTTAATATGATGATGATTTTCAGTTCTGCTACTGAAGAAATTTGACGACAGCAAAAATACCAAAATCACTGATAAAATCGAGTTTCCATTAGGCTAGATATTTTTGCACGTTTTTAGTAATTTTTCTCTCATACCCACACCCCTACATGCGGGCACTCAACCTAACCTCAAAAAACACGTTTTGTACTCCAGCTCGAGTTTGAGGTTAGGTTGAGTTTGGGCATGCAAACAAAAGTCAAAAGTATGGATAGGAAATGTTTTACCCACTAATAAATGTAGTTAATAAAATTGTATTACCCCACCGAAAGCTAACAAAACGTTTTACCCTTTGTTTATTCCAACCTCTCTTGCTCGTCAACCCACCATGCAACCTTCCAATGATCCAACATTCCAACAACCACCGAACACACATACACACAGCCATAGTGTAATCATCCAACATGGGCAAGGAAAAGATTCACATCAACATTGTCGTTATCGGACACGTCGATTCCGGCAAGTCGACCACCACCGGTCACTTGATCTACAAGTGCGGTGGCATCGACAAGCGTACGATCGAGAAGTTCGAGAAGGAGGCCCAGGAGATGGGAAAGGGCTCCTTCAAGTACGCATGGGTTTTGGATAAGTTGAAGGCCGAGCGCGAGCGTGGTATCACCATCGATATCGCCCTGTGGAAGTTCGAGACCGCCAAGTACTACGTGACCATCATTGATGCCCCCGGACACAGGGATTTCATCAAGAACATGATCACTGGTACCTCGCAGGCCGATTGCGCCGTGCTGATTGTTGCCGCCGGAACCGGAGAATTCGAGGCCGGTATCTCGAAGAACGGCCAGACCCGCGAGCACGCCCTGCTCGCCTTCACCCTGGGTGTGAAGCAGCTGATCGTTGGTGTGAACAAGATGGACTCGTCCGAGCCACCATACAGCGAGGCCCGTTATGAGGAAATCAAGAAGGAGGTCTCCTCGTACATCAAGAAGATCGGTTACAACCCCGCCGCCGTCGCTTTCGTGCCCATCTCCGGCTGGCACGGCGACAACATGTTGGAACCCTCTACCAACATGAACTGGTTCAAGGGATGGAAGGTGGAGCGCAAGGAGGGCAACGCCGATGGCAAGACCCTGATCGATGCCCTCGACGCTATCCTGCCCCCAGCCCGTCCCACCGACAAGGCCCTGCGTCTGCCCCTGCAGGATGTGTACAAAATTGGCGGTATTGGAACAGTACCCGTGGGCCGTGTGGAGACCGGTGTGCTGAAGCCCGGTACCGTTGTGGTCTTCGCCCCGGCCAACATCACCACTGAGGTCAAGTCCGTGGAGATGCACCACGAGGCCCTCGTGGAGGCCGTTCCCGGAGACAACGTTGGCTTCAACGTCAAGAACGTGTCCGTGAAGGAACTGCGTCGTGGCTACGTTGCCGGTGACTCCAAGTCGAACCCCCCAAGGGCGCCGCCGACTTCACCGCCCAGGTCATCGTGCTGAACCACCCCGGTCAGATCGCCAATGGCTACACCCCCGTGCTGGATTGCCACACCGCTCACATTGCTTGCAAGTTCGCTGAGATCAAGGAGAAGGTCGACCGTCGTTCCGGCAAGACCACCGAGGAGAACCCCAAGTTCATCAAGTCTGGCGATGCTGCCATCGTCAACCTGGTGCCCTCCAAGCCCCTGTGCGTGGAGTCCTTCCAGGAGTTCCCCCCTCTGGGTCGTTTCGCTGTGCGTGACATGAGGCAGACCGTGGCTGTCGGTGTCATCAAGTCTGTCAACTTCAAGGACGCTTCCGGTGGCAAGGTCACCAAGGCCGCCGAGAAGGCCACCAAGGGCAAGAAGTAGCTGGCTTGCACCCACTCAGCAAAAGCAACAACAAACAACAGCAACAGCAGCAAGCAAATAACCAACATCATAATGCAGCCAACAACACCACTCAACAATACCAGCAACAGCAGCAGCAAGCACAATAGTAGTCTAACAGCAACACCTGTCCTGCGCAAGATGACCGATAAGATGATGTTCCAGCAGAAGCAAAAGTTTAATTTCTTCCATCGAAAGGAGTTTCGACGGATACGAATGCTAAATGTAGTCGAGGGCGGCTAAAACTGGGAAACGGTGGATCCCAAGGAAGAGTGCAGACTGGGAAAAAAAACGCATGCATTTATGCATCCACTCCTCCTCCATCTCCCCCCGTCGATCTTTAGTTTACTACATATGATATGATAAGGAGTTGACTTCGTTATGATATCATATCTAGATATCCTCCGTAGCATTTATATCGTTTAAATTAACCTTTTTACTTTGATATGTATCATTTATCTTACCCTATTTTTGCACACACTACTTTGTACACATGAAAAACAACCAGAATAGAAGCGATAACTTTATTTACAAAAAATAAAAACCCTATTTTTGTATTTCTTTTGATTTTACCACCTCAGCTATTAAAGCACCATCTTTTCCGTTGTGGCTTTTTGATTTTCAGCGCCGTCATCGATTTCCCACAAATCCGAATGTCCAAGTTCAGCTTGTCGTCGATGCCACCAAGTACAAACTACAAACAAGAGCTAGTTGAAAAGTGTAACAATTAAATCTGACAACAAATACCTCGATCGTTTGAATAAAGCGAGCATTTGCAACTGAAGGAATCTGAATATGTTTGCTTGGGCGGGTAATTTTTGGGTTGGAATCAATTTATTCGGCAGAGGAAAAAGTTACAAATACCTAAAATATTGTTTTTTTTTTTTAATTTGAAACACAAGAGGATATTTACATCATAAATTTGTTTGGCAACAAGAGACTAAAAATAATGGATATCTTTTTCATATATATATAACTTAAATCATTTTTTTTAATATAATTTGCATTTATTCAAGTTTCTAAATTGGAAATATGAATACAAGATATAATTTATATTTCAGCAGCTTTAATAGTTGTAAAAATTTATTAAAATCGAATATTTATAAAAGGTTTTTATTTTTATTTCAAAAATAATTTCACAAAAATTTTAAAATTCTGAATGTATTTATTTACTAAAATCAGTTTTTAGTCTCTGTAAAGTCTAAAATCACTCAAATTAAAAAGCTATACAGAAAATAAAGAACAAATTACACAGATTGTAAACTAATAAAGAATCAGACGAACAGTACATATTAAATAAAACTATATTTACATGGGCTTATTTAAAAAGTTTTGAACGAGAAATGTTGATGCTTTAAAATATGACCTTTGTGACAGAATAACGTGGGTTGCACCCGCCGATCTCTACTTGTCCAGCACCAGTGGTGGATCGATGTAGTCGTGATGACGTCTATGGGTTTGAGTTGGGGCCTCCTCATCGCGCTCCCTGGGATCCTCGTACCGTATGCCCTCGGCCGAGACGATGGCGCTCTTCATCAGGTATTTGCCGAACCGCTGGATCTGCATGTTGGTGATGCTGTCCAGCACCCAGTAGGGATCCAGATAGACGCGATCATCCTCGGCCCGCCTCTTGTCCCCGATCACGTACTTGGCCTTGAAGCGGTTCTCGGTCAGAGTGGCGCCGCCCAACAGGAGCAGCTCCTTCATATTGTTGAACTGCACGGGTCGGCAGAGCGAGGACACATAGAAGGGTTCCATGAAGCGGAACAGCTCGCACTGGTAGTGGACGCCAAAGGCCTGGCGTTCGGTGCGGCAAATCTAAAGGATTGAGAAAGGGAGTGGGTTACCATATATCGATTGATATGGCATCGAATGACTCACCTCGATGGCCCGCGAGAAGCGGGTGAGCTCGTAGGGCTCCTCGCCGATCCACTTGCCGGCACGAATCGATGCCAACACCCATTGGTAGCTCACGATCCAGACACCGCGCATCAGGCCGCGCAGGAGATTCAGGGTGCGGCGCGGCTCCAGGCTAACCAGGTGGGTTGTGCGCTGGGTCACGGTCGGATCCAGACGCATGCCGCGCAACTTGCGCAGGGCCTGCGATTGAAGGCGGTTTTCGATTAGGATTTATGACCGCCTCGGATATTGTTATTATTTATTCAATTTGGTGCGGGAGTAGGCTTTACAAATGGCGGGGGGGGGACAGCTCTACCAATCTACCGAGTGTTGTTTATGCTTAATCAATAATTAATATGGGCCATTAACGAGTTGCGAGTATGCTAATTTACAAACTAGTTTGGGTTTACTAACTAATCCCTTTGGGGGGAGTTGGAGAACTCGGTCTACAAAAGTTACAATCGAAGAGTGCTGTGGATGGCGTGCTGGTCACTTCGACGTGCTACCAACCTTGTGGATGACCTGAATCTGCTCCTGGTGCATGTTGGTGTGCACGAGTGTGCGAACCCGCGAACGTGGCTTGCCCTTTGGCCTGTCGCCAGCTTCCTCGCCATACGATTGGGTATCTACATCTGCTTCAGGAACGGCATTCGTCGAGGTCTTGGGAGGGACAACATCCTCCTCTATCCCAACAGTTTTGGGTACATTAACCGGTAACTCCGAAGAGGAGATTTTCGCGGGAGTTGCCAGCGAACGACGACGTTTCTGAACGGAGCCCGTGGAGCCAGTGATACTGAGGCGACTCTTTCGATTGCTTTTCGGTGGCGATATGACCACCTCGTCATTGGGATTGAAAAGGCGCCGCCTTTTGGGTACTAGCGATGGGGTGGCCTCCTCCTGCGGCTTTTCCGGCTCCGACACTTGCCGACACTCGCCCAACTCCGCCTCATTGGCCATGGCCAAAGATCTGCGATGCGACTGGTTGAGTCTCTCGATGCTTTCGTTAATCACCTCCATGTCCAGGTTGAAGATAGTGCGCCTGCGGTTCCCTGTAGACTGACCACCGGGTAGGCGAGTGGAGCTGAAGAGCGGCGTCAGTGGCTCCCCCAGGATGTGGGATGTCTGCGTGGTAACGTTGCTAAGCGATTGCCGCCTGGCCAGGCCAACGGTTTCCTCGTGCAGCTCAGAGCTGGATGTGGCTATGCTGCGCCGCCGGCCAGCACTTATGTCCATCCATTCCGAGGCGTACAGAGTGCCACGCCTATCCGCTGTGTAGGAAGCTTCCGCCTCCACGGCGGTAATCTCTATCGACTGCTCCACGCAATCCGTTTGGTTGGTTACCTTGTTCTCTTTCATTACTACTGAATTCCTGTCCTCTTCAATGGGAGCCAGCTCCTCGATTATGGTTTGAATGCCTTGCTTTTGGGTCGTTTCATCTGCCTGCTTGGCAGTCGCAAGCAATGAGCTCCTGCGACGCGTCATTCTGGGCTCCGTGGCTGTAGATTGAGCCGGTGAAGCTTCCTGTACAGATGTGGTAACCACGCCTATGTGAAGCGAACTCCTGCGGCGAGTCATTCTAGGTTCCATTGCGACCGGACTGTTGATTTCCGCCACGCAGCTGCGACGGCGACTGGTGCGCACGGGAGGAGTCATCACCGGAGCGGGTTCCGCCGTACTCCGACGGGGTCTAGACGTGCTCGATGCCTTCGGCTGCGGAGGGGGTGTACTGCAGACCGACTGCTCTTCAAATTGCAAACGCTTTTGGGCCTGCACTTCCTCGGCCACAGCATCTCCACTGCCATTGGTTCCCTTCTGCTGAGAAGGAGCCATGGCCGGTAAGGGAGTGTAGCAGCCATTGCTTATCCTGTGTCATAAATAAAGAAGGGATTTAGTTTTGCATAAGCACAGTACTTAAACAAAACTGACCTGTTTAGTAGTTTGGTGGCTGGTGAGTCGATTACCTCATCATCTGAAGCTTTGTTACGGTTTAAGGTTCTGAAGAAGCGGCTGATGTCATTCTTTAAGATATGGCATATTGTTAGAAATATCAATTATTATTTAATATTCATTTAGAGCTGATAAATAAATACTAATAATATTTTGTGATTAAAAAGTACTTTAACAAGTACCTATAAATTACGAATTGCACAAATTGAAATGTAATATTTTCCCCCAAAAGTAAAATGAAAATAAATATCCCCATCACTTACCTTTGGTGTTGTGGTTGGAGTTCCTGTCTGGGCTCGCTTATTCACCGATCCTGGTTCATTATCCTTGGTGGATGTTGGCGTTGCCTGGCGTTTTCTTGGACGCTGATTTAGCTCCGAGTCCGGTTGCATAAACTTGACGCGCTGCAATTTGAATTCAAGACTCAAATAAATAAAAGTTGGCTTAGAACTAATTATGGTGAGCAGCTCTTGCCCTTTTGGTGTTATTGTTGATGCTGCGGATGCTGCCGACTTCTTTGCCCGACTCTGTCAGTCATGTTGACTGGAAAACACTGTTTTATTTGTTCATAACTACGTGATATCTGGCCCGTTGTTTAAATAGAAAACGTTCTTATCTAGGGTAAGATAAGTACCAGGTGATATGAATTCACTGGATAGTAATCGATAGTAGTTACTTTTAGTTAATAAAGGGGTTTTTTTTCACCTTAAATTAGTTTTTACAAGAATGCCTGTGAAAACTCCTTAGAATTTGAAAGTGGCGCCATTGGAATTTGTCGGGCTATAGTGTCCCATCTCTATCACCTGCCCGCAATCGATAAGTCCCACCGATAACACTATCGATAGCTGGAAGCAGTTGGGCAGGCCCTATAAAAATTGCTTTTTGTGGGGCTGTCAGCTCAGTCAGCGGCTCATTCATCACTTTCCGACGCGCTCCAGTAGAGCTAGTAGACCTTTTTATCAACCCGACAGTATTACGCGTCCCCCCAAAATTCCCCCTCTTCAGTATACCACCACATTCATTCCACAAAAACGAGCGATAAGCAACAAGTGTTCCGGAGCAGAGATTCGATTCCCTTGAAACAGAACTTAAAACTCCCATTGAAAGTTGTACTGTTGTACTGTTCTGTTTCTGTTTTGTTTACCTGCGCAATCAGGGCCCAAGAACGTGGCATATTTCCAACTGCGGGTAAACAATTAAAAAAAAACTTGTTCCCGCCGCACACGCGAATAAATCTTGGGAATACCACGGCACAATAGCATACCAGCCGGTGCCAAGTACGAAGGAGGAGTCGGAGCAGCTGCAACCAAGATGATTCCCGGCTATGGACCCGTCACGCAGGCCCTGCTGGGCACCCTGCTCACCTGGGGACTCACAGCCGCCGGCGCCGCGTTGGTGATCTTCGTCCGGGGCAACCAGCGGAGGTCACTGGACGCCGCCCTGGGATTCGCAGCAGGCGTGATGATAGCCGCCTCCTTCTGGTCACTCCTTAAGCCAGCCATTGAAATGGCCGAGAGTTCACACTTGTATGGCGTGTATGCCTTTGTGCCCGTGGCCGGAGGCTTCCTCCTGGGCTCCATCTTCGTCTATGGCTGCGACAAACTGATGTCCTATCTGGGCCTCAACAGCACCAACATGATGATCCAGATGACGCAGTCGAAGGACAAGGCCGACATAGCCATTGAGGATTCCAAGCGCAATGGGGGCGCAAATGCCGCCGACAGGTTGGCCTCCAAGAGCCTGGACAGCTTCTCCGACTGCCTGAGTGTGCAGCACAGCGGCGAGTCGAGGCGCCGCAAGAAGGGCGGCAGCATCAACGAGATGGAGCAGTGCACCTACACCACACCCGAGGAGCAGCAGCGCGCCGACGAGGCCCTGTCGCAGTGGAAGAGGATCATGCTGCTGGTGGTGGCCATCACGGTGCACAACATTCCCGAGGGACTGGCCGTGGGCGTGAGCTTCGGAGCCATCGGCACCACCAACTCGTCGACGTTCGAGAGTGCCCGCAATCTGGCCATTGGCATTGGCATCCAGAACTTCCCCGAGGGATTGGCCGTCAGTCTGCCGCTGCATGCAGCCGGATTCAGCGTGAAGCGGGCCCTGTGGTATGGCCAGCTGTCGGGCATGGTGGAGCCCATCTTTGGCGTGCTGGGCGCCGTGGCCGTGACCTTTGCCAACCTGATCCTGCCCTATGCCCTGTCCTTTGCGGCCGGGGCCATGATCTACATCGTTTCGGACGACATTCTGCCCGAGGCGCATGCCAGCGGCAATGGAACGATCGCCACATGGGGCACTGTCTCCGGATTCCTGATCATGATGTGCCTGGAGGTGGCGCTGTCGTGAGCTGCCACCGTCGTGGGCCTGCCTTCGCCCGCCTCGCAGAACCATTAAGCTAGTGTAAAACTCAAAGATTCCATTGTACTTAACGCGAACTTCTCGCTTCTGCGCTGGCATGTAAATAGAAGCGGGCTTTGTACAAATCTCAGAACCAGCCCCAAACGAGAATCTAATAATCTAACGTAGCGACTAAGTTTCTGTTTAGAGAAAACACTTGACAACTTGGCCATGCCGCGCGTGGCATCCGTGCAATTCTGTGTATCTGTGCACCCACCGTCTACAGCATTCCCAGCGAGTTATGTAAATGAGCCCCGTTCGCGGAAAGATTGTAAACAAACGTGCATGTGAATTAGGTTTTAAGTTGTCACCGGCGTCCAGTGGCTTGTGTCTTTTTAAACTGTCTAATGTTTAAGCAATAAATTGAAGCGCATTCAAATGAGCAACCCTTTTCCTGGTGACAGATATAGCCTTGCTCGGACAACTTCCTGGCCTACGATAGCCCGATGATAAGAGCAAAGAGTAAATTCAATTAGATAACCCGGAGAGGCAACAACACCAGCACCAGCACCAACAAAACTGGTTGACTCGCTGTCAACCAGTGAAAAGTGATAAGTGATAAGAATCTGTCCGGTCCGAAGAGTTCCCAATATTGCGCGTATTCTGTGTTTGAGTTACGTGCAATTTCAGACGGCCCGCGGCCCTGCGTTTGCGGTTCGCCATTTTCTGGATTAACTAATCATTTCAGAAATGTAAGTACTCGTGGACGAACACCGTCCACCCACTGCGATCGTGGTCATCGGCAAAAGTGGTCGATAAGACCCCTCTTGGTAGCTATCTTTTGTTGAATTTCCATACTTAGTAGTTGTTTATGTGCGCCATAAACTAATAAACATTGGCCGCTAAGTGACCTATTAGTTGGGGACATATCTTGAGTGGAGTTAAAGCTTCTGTGCCAGCAAAGCCATAAATTGATAATGCCATCGATTCAAGCAATTAAAGGCTTTCTTAATTTCCTTGGCGGGAAAAAAAGAACTTTGTTAACATCAGCTTGTTTCGTCTCTTATCTCAAGTGGAGTTGATGAGTTCGTCTGAACAATGTTATTATCGTCAAAAAGCTGATAAAGCTTGTTGGGCCTAACAAATTGTAGTGTTAGGAATATTTGAACTTGAAGGAAAAAATTGATAAGCCAAAATCTTGGCTTTTATCAATCAATAAGCAATACTTTTCTTTTCATTCACTGTTAATAACTACAAATTATGACCGATTACTGAAGTAACTCTACCTTTATATACAACTATATAATCCCTTGCAATTCCCCTTCGATTTTCCAATTTAAATATTAACAAATAGCTTGTTTGACTTACCGGCATCTTGCCAAAGAGCTCTGGATACTCGTACATGCGTATGTTGCTGATGGGAAACTCGCTGGGATCACAGATTTTGCGCTGCACCTTGCAGGCCTCAATCCAGAGAATCGAAACCACTGGTATTTTCCAGTCGGCGGCTTTTTTATATGTTGAGAGCTGGCCATCCTTGAAAACCACATGTGTGGTGTTGCTATGGGCCGAATGGTAAAAGTTTTAGAATTGATTTTCTTTAAGTCAACTACTATTAACTTACCGCGTGAAGCGATCATTGACCTGGGCTCCCATCTTGGCAATGATTGCTTTTACGCCCTCGGAGCGATTGTCGTTCCCGGTTCGCACCTCCACATAGACAACAATGTCCTTGAGCAACTCGGGCAGTGTGGGCGGCTCCTTCGGTTGGCGTTCCTCCATGGTGATGATGCTCTGTTCGGCAAGGGGCACATCGAAGGTGTTGTACGCCGACTTTGTGGGACTCCTAGGAAAGACGGTTGGTATACGATTAGATTTAAAACTTGAAGTAAATATAAAATAAATTATACATTCACGTATTGATTTTATATTTAAATGTTTAAATATAACCTGTATAAGTAAATCAACAACCTATAAAAATGTATTTTTTTATAACATCTATGCAAGGGAAATAAATTTAAAGGAAGCAGCAGATGAAAGATACTTTCCACATTATTTAAAATGATCCTAAGCTTAAATGATGGCTTTCAAAACCAAGAGGTATTCTTAACACTAAATATTTTAAACAAAGAATTTAAATTTTGAACAAATAATGTTTATAATAAATAAATAAACATCAAAGTATGCACAAGCAAATCAAACAAAATGCACAAAGGCGACAAAACATAAATTAATGGTATGCATGCCTATTTTAAGGAACATGAGTTGCTTTTTTAAATAAAAATAAAAATAGAACGGATTAAACTTCGTTATCGGTTGAATTCTTATCAAATTCTTTGATAGCTCTTGTTTAATTAAATTGGTTTAAGGAGACTAACGATGAACTATTTGTTTTATAGAACGAGACTATTGCACGGAACATAATCTACTTATTACTATTAAATGATCGTTTAAAATTAATTTTATCGTAGAATAATTGTGGCTCTTAAAGTTTATCGTTGAATGATTGTTGCTCTTACTTCAAGTTTGTGGTTCAAAGTAAACAAGGTTTTTATAATACGAAACTATTTTTAAGAATTTAATTGGCTTATTTATATAAAATTATCGTATCGATTATATCGAATGGTCTTTAGTAACACACATATATATCAGCTAACTTCTCGGCAGGATTTCTACTCTATGTAAATCGCTTACTTTAAGGCGATTATGGGATTATTTTTTAGCATATTGATGATCGTAGAATTGATTTTAACAATGGTGCTGGACAGGAATTGTTACTCTTGTTTCACAGCTTACTTTAAGGCACGAATGGCGCGCAGACGGAGTGCAGCATTGGGGCTGTTGAGATCTTGCTGCAATCGCGCCCACTGCCCCTCCTGGCGGTGGGGCGTGGAGCAGGCTATTGCGGTCGGAGGAGCTGCTCCCGATCCGGCAGCCTCGTCCCTGTTCTGGTCCCTCTGGAACTCCGAGCGGTGCTGGCTGATGGCCTGGGAGACGGCCAGAGCGGGGTTGAGCATCCGCCGATCCTTGGCCAGCTGGTCATCTAGCAAGAGAGAACGGAGCTGGTTAGCAATAGTTGGGTCAACTCTCCACATGGTTATGTTTTGTTATATCTAAAGTTTCTGTACTGATTTCTACGACTACAAATTTAGGGTTAGCTACGCATCCGGAGTTAAAACTACTGGGTGGTGGGATAGGTCTCGTAAAAGGGTAAGCACAGCCAACCTGCTGGGACCTGGGTTTGAGATTTGGGTGCCAGGGGCGACGGTTTGAGCCTGGCGTCCCCCAGATTCGAATCCTGCAACGGTCGGCGGATCGGTGACGCCGCCGACTTGGCGGAGCTGGCCGCCATCGAGCCATATGTCTTCGTCTTCCACGTGGGATTGCGCAGCAGGAACTTGTCCATGGTCACGGGGCAAGTGCTCTGCACACCTCCGTTCGTTATTGCACTAAAATCGGTCGCCAAACTCTAAAAAAAGACGCGCCAATCTAATAAAAACACCAACCGGCCAGAAAATTAGAGATGAATGTCATCGATCATATCAAAGCATCGGTTCGATCGATGCTTAGCAGGGTATATCGATATTTTCCCTTTTCCAACGAGTATGGAGCTCAAACTGTGAAAAATGGTCACACCAAAAACTCTACTCCAGTAATCACTCATTGTAAGTTTCCACTCAAATTTTCTGATATAACTCACTCCAAATGCTAACAGTTTTACTCCAGTTCTGTGAGATTCCACTCAATGTTTTAGTATGACCACTTTTTAGCAGTATAAGTTATCGGTCTAAAAATCGATTTATTTAAATAGGATTTTCGATTCCTTTAGTTCACTTTTTAATCGAAATTTGAAATTTGAAATAATAGTTATTAATTAATAATACGAAAATTAACTTTAGTCATTGCGATGACTTTAGAAACAAAAGTGAACAAATTCTGATACTTTTGACAATAATTTAAATTGCATTGCAAATAACGACCAGCAAATACAAACAATCGACGTTTATAAATAAATATTTATAATTAAGCTTAAAAAAAACAAACAATACACAGTTTGAATAAAACAACAACATTGACTTTTAGAAATTTTCTTTTAATGCATACTAATATCGTTTACATGTTTTTAATTCGAACTTATTTACATATGAATTGTATGTACAGCAAAAAATAATAAGAAAACAATAATTTGAACTCGCCTAAAGTAGCAATTGATTTGCTTATGACATTCTCTGCCCCCATTTCTCGACTCTCCGCCAATCTCAATATCAATCTCAATCTCTCCGTGCGCTTTTCGTGGGCTCTCTAGGACATTCTCTCAGTCTTAAACGATTTAAAAAACTATGGCAAAATTTTAATTACTCATTACAAATTGCATAATCATTAAATCTCTCTGCTTGCCTTAAAGTTAACTGCGGTTAATTAGAGTTAGTGCGTATTAAGTGGTCTACGCTAAATGGCTGCATTTCGCTGCATTTATCACAAAACTGAGCGAAATGCACTCCACAGTGATTGTCCATCCAATGGTCCAATGATCCGCCACTGACCAAAACTAAATCGTAAGCTTTGACTAAATAATTGTAGAATTAATGCTAGGACGATGAATAAATTAGAGCCAGCCAGGGTGATCATTCTGAAATATTGGATTAAAACATTTAAATTAAAAGGGGAATTGTTTTATTATAGAATAGTTTTGCCAAAAAGACACCCACCATGTGCGCTGATCAGACTACGTGCATCCCAGAGGGACATCTGCGACTGGGAGAGACGGTGCTGCGCCGGATAGAGTTTGTACGGGAAGTACGAGTGGTGGAATGTGGCAATGGGAATGGGTTGCGCCGGCTGCAGGAATTGCTGGTGCTGGTGATGGTGCTGGAGCTGGTGCTGCGCCGAGATCTTCCGCGAGATCTTCGGCTCCTTCTTGGGCTTGCTGGCGGAGCACGGCTGCTTCGACGACTTGATGAAGTTGGGAATCCGCGCCAGCAGACCGCAGTAGTACGGATCGTCCTGCTTCTTTCGCTGCTGCGCCCCGCTGCTCTTCTGCCGCTTCTTGTCCGCATAGATGGGCGTCAACGATCCACCGCCCTCGTAGTCCGGCTGGAAATGATTAATTCAAGTAATTAAAATAAATAACTAATGTAGATCATATAATATAAAAAACAATTTGTTAGTCATATGGAATTAAAACTTCAGTTAAAGAAATTCCAAAGTCTTGGCTTAATAAACATGCTGTTGAAAGAACAACTTCTCTTTTAGAATGTGTTGTACAATTTCAAATCTATTTTTGTATAAGTTACTCCAATTTAAGGAAAGATGAATGGGAATTAAAACAGAACACAAAACAACAAATTATGTAAAAAAAGCAAGTGCATTTTCATAAATATTTCAACTAGCTCTTTTGACTCAATTTACAAGTTCTAATAAAAACATTAACTACAAGTTTAAATGAAAAAAAATAATTATAAAAGCTATTATAGCTAGACCCAAGACATTGTTTAAAAAATGTTTTTTCTTTAAATACTTTTTTTTTGCTTTTAAACAATAAATCGAAAGTAAGAAATATTTCTACTACAAATTTTTCAAAAATTTTGAGCTCTGCTTTTAGCAAATATTGGAAAAAAGTCGCATCTCTTCTTCCAGAAGGCCTAAAAAATTCTAATTTAAAGAACCGTGTCCCTATTATCTAAATAAAAGTCATACCTTGGGCACATAGGGACCCTCGTTGAGGAAGGCGGCACTGAAGATGCTGCGCCGTCCCTTGCTGGAGTTGCTCGAATTCTGTGAGTTCTGCGAGTTCTGTGAATCGTCGGAGGCGGCGGGCGTGGGATAGATCAATCCCACCTGGCTCTCGATGGTGGAGTAGGGATCCTCGCTGCTGTTCGTGAGCGGCACGCGCATGCCCATCGCATCCAGCGACTTGGGAACGCTCTGGAGGCGACTCCGCAGCATGTCCATGGCCACCACGTTGACCACGAGTATCCAGACGGGGGAGTTGATCAGATTGTTGTTCGACTTAACCAGCGAAACGGCGGACAGGCACTGGCGCTCCAATCTTCCCCGTTCCGGATAGGATCTCGCAAACTCGCGGTTTATGTTCGTTTGGAACTTCTTCATGTCGAAGAGTCGGCCCGAAGTGCCCGAAGTGAGGGACATCTGGGGCATTTGGATTATGTCGCCGCCGATCACCGTCTCCTCGTTTCCCTGCGACGTGCTGTTCACGTAGACGCTGCTCTTGCCGTACCGCTTGATGAAAATATTGCCAATGTCGTCCATTTTGATCTTGAAACCATCACCAATCGATTTCTTGATCACCTTTGTCTCCGCATCGCGCATGGGATTGTCGAAGCCATTCAGGCCAATTCTGTGGGTTAAGGATATATATATTTAGTAAGTTTTAATAAGAGGGGTTTTTTAAAGTGGTCTCCTAAAAAGGTCTATTCATTAAATTGTCATTATAAGTATTACTTTGAAATTAAAAATATACTAAAATGTAAGGTGATATTTAACAATATATTAAATATTTTAGGAACGCACTTTATAAATTTGTAAATCTTTTAAAAAGCACCCAGTTATAAAAATTATTTTTATTAACCATTTTCTAATATTTTATCAAAATATAAATTAATTTTAGATAATTTGGGATATATATCTAACATGTTATGCAACTCTACATATTTAAAGGGGCTTAAGTGCTCTTATTAAAGAGTCTATGTGATTATTGGCATTACTTTTTAATGAAAAATATATTAAAATAGAACGGGTTATCTTTAAACTCCAAGCTTACTTCTTTGATATTTACGCATAATTTATTAATTTGGAAATTTCTTGAAAAATTGCTTTAAAATCTTTTAGCTACACCTTAACTAATGTAAGATAAACTGGAAGTTGCTCTGCAAAATAACTTATTTTAAAAAAGCTTTGAACATTTATATAACTGCATTAATGGAATTTATTACTTTCTTAAAATCAACAAATTAATAGTTTTTATAAAAATAATCACTAAAGGGTCTTTTAGGCAGATAGCTAACTTTTATTTGTGGAAATTGTCATTGTGGCTTATGGTGGCTTTATGATCCCGAACTCACCGCACTCCATCGAATCCGTTCTTGGATCCATTTATGGTTATCACAGAGGAGCGGGCGTAGGCCTTGGCCACGCGTCGGTTCTTTTCGAAGACGATTATCTTGGCCCAGATCTCGTCATCGATCTGCTCCCACTTGGACAGAACCTCGTTGATGTGGTCCTGCAGGAAGTGAATAGAAGGGGTTGAGCATTAGCCAAAGTTCATGTTTTTGCTGTAGAGATTGAAAACCATACCCTGAAGAGCTTCTCGCGATCGTGCCAGACGTCTTCCTCCTGCTCCTCCTGCCCGATGGCATCCAAATTGTCCAGCGAACGCGATATGATCTTGCGGCGTGAAATCATCTTGTCCGATTCGTTTCCTCTGCAACGGGAGAACATTTTCCGAAATTATTATAAATAATTACGAGACAATTAACTACCGCTGGCAGCGGGTGCGAATCACTTTGATTGGATCTGGCTGACACAGACGGAATTAAATCGCCGGCGAATGGGACACGCACTGAAAAGATTATTAGGCAATCGGGTTCAATCAATCTGCGAGCCAATGAACTCTGCACACGAAACGTACCTATTTTGTGTGTTTTTTTTTTTTTTTGGGTGTCGGGTATTTCAACTCCGACTCCTTGGATCGATCGAATCACCAATGTCACCGCCTCTAATTGAGATGCCTTGACAATTGTTTGGTGCTAAACACTTTGTCGCACGACACGCGGTTTTGCATTTTTTCATTTTTTTTTTTTTTTTGTTCAGGTCAGGCCAACTGGCCTGGCATTTCAATTGGCCATTTGGGGTTTTTCTTCAAAGTCAGTCCCGATTTGCTTATGCACTGCGTTTTGTCACAAAATCCAGTAGTCGTCGTAGTAGTAGTAGTAGTAGTAGCCACTGTCAGGTGGATTGGCGGTCAGCCACGTGATTGGCATTAATTGCGGTCCAAATGCGATTTACCAATAAATGTGTGTCACACACTATGTGTATTCCGACGAGTGGCAATGAAAGTGAGTCTGTCTTGTTGGTTGAGGAGCTTCCCATTACCATTACCATTCCCATTCCCATTCCGAATCCCATTTCTAGCCCCTACCAACAAAATGTGACATTTCTTGGCGTGATCAAATTAAGGGCACGACATGCCCTGCATTGTTTTACAAATTTCCCATTCATGGCCTATTTTAAATGTTTTCCAAATTACCCAGAACTGCAGGCATTAAGTTTCCCGTCGAGCATTCACAAACACCGATCCGCAGTCATTGAAGCCGCCGACTTTGGCTTTCTATTTGCTAAAGCGTTGGCGTTGGTTCTTTAATTAACAAACAGAATGGCCATAAAACCTGATAAATGTCACGCACTTCTATATGTGTTCAAAGATCCGTTTTGGCCAAGAAAGAAAGATAACTGGTTTTCTTTTTGGCAAAAGTTAAGATTT